TAAAGTGAAATTTTACTTCAAGAAATTTAGAGAGTAGAATTATATGGTTTTTGAAATATATTATTCCCGCTTCCTATTACTTGTGCTTTTCAATTCTGCCTCAGGCTTTACTTTTCAAGTAATGATAACGAGCAACCGTCAAGTAACCGTAATGATAACGAGTAGTGATAGCAACAAATTGCTTTTCTAATTCGATAACAAATAACGAATTACTTTTAAAAAAATAACTTCCCATCCCTGCTTATACGCGTAAACAAGGGGTTCTCACGGAGATTCTTGAGGAAACCGCAAACGCATCGCACGCCGCAGACACCATCAGACACACGTGCACGAGGTATGCTCCGCCAACGCGCGATGATGCGTGACAGTGCGCTGCTGCGGGTATTATGCAACGACGCTCAGAGCCGCACTTGCCTGCAGACGTAATGGGAGCAAACTATAGAAAATGATAGTGATCGCTGCATTTTATTGATTTAAAACGTACTGAATGATTTCATCGACATATATCGATATGGTAGGAAAAAAATGACGTGAAAGAATATTCAAGGTCGATATACTTACTTAACAATTTTACGAAACTGAGAACGATCGGGACAGAGCAGGAAGAACAGAAATATTTATAAACGTTACGTACATATTTTTAATATAAATTTTTGCGTAAGGCATTTGTGCATTAGAGAACTCTTAACTATTCGTGCAAATAAAATTATATTATTTACGCTTGATAATAAAGATTTTATTTTACGAATTATCAAACACGCGTATTTTATCGTATATCTATTGAAATTTAAGGGAACTTTCTAAAGAAAATGTTGCAACGGAATCGATAAGGAGGGCAATTGCAGCACTGATGTGGCAACGCTCTAACTTTGCGCGTTGAAACCGATCGAGACGAATGACGCACGCACGCACGCACGCACGCACGTATGTACTCACGCACGCAACATTTGCGGTATCGTTATACACTGGTTCACTGGGAACGATCCCCGATTGCGCCCGTCTCGCGGTCGTGTGGGTCTTGCAGGGTCAAGACGATTCCGCATACAATCGATATACGAGACGGAGGGGTAGTCTAGTTGTCGTAGTGTTCTTGCTATTTACTCTCTATATCGCATGACATCGTTAAATTCGCCGTCTTTACGTAACACACCTGCTGATTAATGTTGCCATACAGTAACGTGAGCAATTGTTTTATGGAAACAAAAAAAACAATGGACATGTATAGAAAGTACCAAAATTTTTCATTAAAGAGAGAGAGAAGAGAAGAGAAGAGAGAGAGAGAGAGAGAGAGAGAGAGAGAGAGAGTTAGACTAATTACTTTAAATTAAAATTATTGAAATATGAGTCTCATACTTATTCTCAAATTTTTGAAAAATATAAATTACCAAGACTTTAGAAATAAGATAAAATTTGAAAAAGATATAATATATATAAATATTTTTTAATTAAACAATTTTTTTAGTTAAAATGAAATTGTCTTAATATATTTTTGCCTGCAGATATTCTAAAGTGTATTATGCACAATAATTTGGTATTATTTTATTTAAGTATTTTACGTAACAGTTATTTTATATAATCAAATAGAACATAAAAAATGAAGTGCCAATGATTTCAGAAGTGCATATTAAGTAAAAAATAATGTAAACTTTCCATTAATATTTTTATATATAAGAGATTTAAATGGATCTATTTTTTTCAACATTTTGTCATTTAAATTTGTTAACTTATTATTAGCAGCCATCAGCATAAAACGGTAAACATAGAAAAATAAGAATTTTACATGCAACTCCAATGTTTTATGTATTATGAAAGTTACATAGGCAAATACAATACAACGATATGACGATAATATTTAACTTAAACTTTGTAAGTAAAAGCTATAAATGGCATAAATGGAGATAATTTTCTATATTTAATGTAAAATGAAAATTGTTCGAGGAACGATTATCTTCTATCAGTATTTTTAAATATACAACAATGAAAATTAATTGCATGAAACATATTTTACGCAGATTTATCAATGCAGTTTGTAAATTACATAACGAGAACATAAACATACGCAACCATCGCGTGTACTTAATAACTAAAACACTTCCTTTGAACTTAATGCAAAACACTTGTTTTGCATTATTTTGAAATTTATCTTTTTTCTCTTTTCCTTCGAAAACTATCAAAATTCAAAATATAAATTCTCGACTAATTTCGTTGCCATCACATATATATATAAATGCACAAATTCACTAGAACAGTATCAGCAATACTCATTTCTCAATAACGAGTGGTTGCAGTATCTTAATAACACATGAAAATATCGGTTTTTTTCCTGCACGTTACTTACGTGGAAAAGTTTATCGGACTACCTGTCTGCCTACGGCAACTTTTCAAAAGATATTCATAAGAGCGATGGAGTTTATTGTTACATCAGTGTACATAAACGTCGATACCATGCAGATGCAATTTAGATTATTTGCGCTGGTTATCGTGATTGACCTATAAGGGGCTATTTCACATATCGCAATAATGGAGATGAGAAAACTGCCATGTATACCAAGAGAACGACAGCTTTATTAAATAACAGTCTTTACATTTTGTGATTATAAATGAAAATGGCCCACCACGTGCGCGATCGACCGCGTGGTACAATGCATCTGAAGGCGGAATCGCCGATTTTCTTTAGCCGATCAGATACACAAGCTTTGAATGATTATCTCGATCAAATGCGAAAACGAGGAACGCGTTTTTTATTTTCTATTTTCTCTCTTTCTCTCTCACTTTAGCTAATCTTATAATTAAACGTAAGGCCTGATTACACCAATGTTACTTAGATTTTAAGCGAGGCTTAAAATTCTCTCCCTCTGTTTTTAAAGTCAAGAATAGAGACAGAGAGAGAGAGAGAGAGAGAGAGAGAGAGAGAGAGAGAGAGAGAGAGAGCTTTAAACCTCGTTTAAAATTAAAGTAATGTTGGTGCAATCGGGCTTAAAGGCTTATAATCTAAGCGTTGACTTATTCAAATAAAAATATAAATGTAGTTTACGAAAATGCGCGAAGGACAAAAATATATCAACTTCAAGTCGTGTAATAGTAATAATACTAACATTATCAGCACAGTAAAGAGAACGGATAATTTCCTTAAGTCGGAACGCAAGCTTATAGAATTTTCGCTGTTGAAAAATTTATGTATTACTATATTTTATAGTATAATCATGGAATACAAAATAATCATATAAATTATAATTTTTGCAAAAAATTCGACTCTCTAAAGCAAAAAAATTTTATACGATATATTCAATAATTCAAATCAAATAACAGCTTTTAATAAATAATGATAAACAATAAACAGGAATTATATTGAGTATCAGCTGATATAAATTTAAACATTATAAATATTATATCATTAATATACGCAATAACATTATCTTGAGATATTTTCGAAAATCAAACTCACAAATTATACATCACATTTTATCGTATATATATATATATAAGTCTTCTATATATAAAACAAAGATATAATTTTATATTAATATAATAATATAATAAAAAGTATCACACATTTTTAAAAACCACTATTCTTTTCCATTAGATTCAACTTTAATTTAAAATTAATTAAATTTTAAAAAATATAAAATTTTATTAAGATATTGGTAAGAAAATTGGTCCCACTTCACAAATTTTTAAACAGTTTTTTCTAATTATAGATATTTAATACTGGATATAATAAATATAATGTCTGTATGAGTTTTGCAAATGCATTAAATAATTTTATAAGATATTAATTTTATAAAGCTACAGATTTTTTTATGAATGTACATTTTGCGCATTATGAATCTATCATAAACAGTTATATAACATAGGATAAGTTAACTTAATTAACTTAAAAAGAGAAGAGCCACAGGATGGAATACTCGAACAGTGAAATAAAGACGAAGCTATTGCATTTGTCATAAATAGGATATAATTTGCCATAAATAGGTACTGCTGCATATCAGCTTTTAACGATAATCAGGCATTTTCCGTGGCTATTGTGAAGTTCAAATAGGGGGAAATCATTTAGTCGTCATGGCCATATTCACACGCTATTGTATACGATGGCACAATTGTGTTTGTATGTATATGTGCACATGTAACTGCGCGTTTGTTAATCGCAAAGTTGAACCACGTATCTTCCATGATCGAATTTTCTAATATTTTTGACGTATATCATTAGATTGTTCACTTTATCTGTCAATACTTAATTTTCAAAAATTATGTATAACAAATTTAAAATAATATTGCATTTCATTAATGTTATATTTGAGAATTAAAGTTTTAATAAATTTTTTTCTAAAAAATTTTTAAGCCAATATATTATTACATTGTACAATATCACAAATATAAATATTATGTTCTTGATAAATTTTATTATTAACAACAAGTGTAAAATTAAATTAATAATTATATATTTTTTATATATAATAATCTAATTACGGTATCTGTCAAAAAATTTAAATAATTCAAAGAACTGAATAAAATTATATCAATTAAAATACTTTAATTGTATCTGAATCTATCATTATCTGCCTATCTGTTGTGTAATTATTAATTATATCTATTATTTACCTTCAATCATGACTTATTATCTTGCAAATAATTTCTAAATTTATAATTACAATGTTATCAGTCATTAAAAATGCACAAAAATATAATTTACTATTTTCGATTCTTACAACATTAGCTTTATATCCCTTATAGAAATTTAATATCAGTACTGACCAATTAATTACTTATTTTGAATATTAAAAGTATTGTTAATAGTACTTTTAATACTAAAAATATATGATTAATGAACTAATATTAAATTTTTATATCTATGTATCTAATTAATGTAGAAATATGAGAGTTCAATAGATTTCAAGTTGTAAATATAAGATATTTCATTTAATTTAGATATATACATACATACATATATATATATATATATATATATATATATATATATGCACTTGATAATGTGTTTGTTGAGCCTATTTTAAAATGACTACAACCTTTATATAGATACATGAAATTATTTAGTCCTTACTGATTTTTCTAAACTCTTTTTAACTTTCTCTATTTAACGTCGATCATTGGCAGCTGATCTATTCTGATTTGACTTTTAACTTAAACATTTGTTGAATTAGATACACGAAGATAAAGCCTGATCGACGAGAGTGAGAGAGAACAAGAATCATTATTATACTATGTACAAAAAAGAAAAATATATATACAAAACCGAGTATTTTTTTGACTTAGTAACATTTCAATACTTTCAATGGACATGCTTTACGATACTTTCTAATATATAAACTGTAAACTATTACAGGTCTGCCTTAATCCTATGACTACAAAAATAATGCCACGGAAATATAAATTTTACAATATTATTATATTGTAGTTAATGGCTCGCACGATATGACGACGTTGCAATGATATTTAATAATACGGAACTTGCTCAAAGTTCCTGTTTATATCTACGTACCTTACGATAGTAGACATTCAATATCGGATGTTGATAGTTAACCGCCGCATATCATGAACGCCGATTACAGTTAGATTCGCGAACGTATTTAGCCCAAGTACGAGAAGGAGTAAACTGGCTGGGATAATGTTTGCGATTTGCGGTTGACTGACTGCTATCTATCATATTTCGATACGTTTCTTCGTCGTAGGCGCAAGAGAGATTTTTTCTTCGTTTTACTGAGCCGGTTTCAAAATTGGCCAGTTGACTGCCAACGAGCACGTGAAGATCACCTTTTTCCTGCACAGCCCAATCCCAGGTCTCTGCGATAGAGCAATTGCAAATAAACGGATTTCCCATGAGATTAATCGATAATAAGCGTGGATTTGCCTTCAATATCTTCGGATGGATCGTACGCAGTTTGTTGTTGCTAAGGTCTATATGTTCTAATCTGGGCAATGTTTTCAGAGAACTCAAATTTTCTACACCAGATATTGTGTTGCCCGAAAGATTCAATTGAGTGAGATTATTCGTTGTAGCAAATATGTCTTCGTTCAAGTGTGAGATGCCACAGTTGCTGAGGTCTAAAATCTCCAACTTGGAGAGCTGCGTTGGGAACAATGAGCCTTCATCGGGTACGATCAGCGGATTGCCACTGAGTTTGAGTTCTATTATATCAGTTAACTCGCGGTCACCGAAAACTTTTGGATCGGGAGGTGCCTTGAGGTCGCAGTTGTTGAGCTCTAGGCTTTCCAAACGCGTCAAATTTGCAAACAATCCTTCTTCCAGAGTATGAAGTTCATTTCCCGAAAGAATTAACTGTTTTAAGAAAGTCATTTGTGCAAAAGTGTTAGTTCCAACATAACCGAGACCGCAATAAGACATATCTAAATATTCCAAAGCGCTTAACGGATTGAGAAGACTGACGAATGCGTCAGATAATGGATTATAAGAAATATCGAGTTCCTCTAGGTGTTCGAATACATCAAAGGTATCTGGCAATCTTCGAAGACTGCAATTGCTGAGGGAGAGCTTATGAAGTTTTGGCAAATGGCGCAGAACGGCAGTTAAATCGCTAGCGAACATTGGATTACCGCTCAGATTGAGGACGCGTAGCTTGCTTGCGTTTCTAAAAGCTTCCTCAGATAGACGATCTTGTAAATTACAATTCGATAAGTCTAGAGATTGTAGACTGTGCAAGTTGTGACCGAGCGTATCTTCGACATCTAGATGCCACAGTTCATTATCCGCGAGAACCAGTTGTAAGAGATATAAGTTCTTGGCGAAGGCATCACCCGGTAGATTCGTGATACCGGTTTTGCGGATATCTAGATGTTCCAAACGTACCAACGGTGTGAGAACGCTTCTCCAGTTCAATGTTTTTAATTCATTGTCTGCTATCTCTAACTGTCGCAAATTTTCTAGGTGAGAAAATGCCTCAGGTGATATATAGGTTAAATTGCATCCGTTTAACTTGAGATATTCCAAATTCGTCAGATGATCGAAAGGGCCCGGCTCTATCCTTTGCAGGGGATTGTACGATAGATCGAGCTTATTCAAATTCGTCGTGTTGTAGAAGAAGCGCGTGTTGAGGTGCCAGATCCCGCATGAATTCAGATCGAGATACAGCAGCGTACGGCAATTCAGGAAGGGTTCCTCAACCTCGTCCAAGGGATTGTGTTGGAGTTCCAATGTAATTAGACCCGGGCTGTCCCTGTTGAATTAATCGTATGATCGACAAAACCTATCACACGTCTGAGAATGAAATGACTACTGGCGAATATAATTAATATCGAATCATCTTACCGAAATGCTTCGGGATCTACCCGCGTAATGGCGTTATATGAGAAATCTGCGTCCAGAAGGTACGTCAATCCAGCAAATGATTCATATGTCAGTTCAGTTAATCGGTTGTGTGCCATCTGAAGACGCCTCAATTTGATCGATTCTGGAAACGGACTGATGTCTGCAATATTATTATCATTCATGTCTAAAATATAGACATTATGACTCAGCTCGTTGTATGGAATGGTCGTCAGATTGCTGTCCGAGCAATCCGTCACCCAGTTGACGCGAAAGTAGTGACAGTGGCAATCCACAGGGCATTCTTGCTCCGGCAATTCCTCGTTATTAAAGGCTGATGTCGTAATAATAAAATAGACCGCAAGTAGGGACAACGCTGTTGTCATCTTTGCCATTATAATCTGTATCAACAACCAAAAACAAAAAAATTAGTCATAATTAGGTATATAATGGTACATTGAAGTAATTCTGTATCTCCATATATTATACTTTTATTATTGAACGTTCTTTTCGTATATTATATTAAAAACAAAATCAGAAAAAATGTTAATTCAGAAAATATAATTTAAAGATATTATAAAAATTAATTCTTTTGAATGTTAAAGAATTAAAAACAAATGATTATATATATATATATA